TGAATTGCAAACAGTTGCAAATGGCAACAGCAAACTGCAAAGTTAATGCATATTCACGAGCTATCAAGAATGAGGGTGTGGTTTTGTCGTCAAGGGGAAAATAAAGCATATGTTTAGATACAATGTTAGTGATGGAAGTTTCAACTAAACATGCAGAACTCACCTTGTCAACACTTCAGTCCAAATGAGTGGATGAACTAACAAACATTCAAAACCGCAAGAAAATGTAGTGGTGCCTTGCATTCAGGCCAGAGGTTGTCTTTGTCATTACTATTAGTTACTATATTATACATTTATAAAGAAAGATCTGTGGTATGAATTTATTACGAAGAGGTTATTTAAATTTGGAAACCTATAGTAGAATTCCTGTTGTGCTCCAGCCACAGAGCTGAAAGAGCAGTTTGACATTTTATTGCACAGAAATGCAGCACTGAACTGAATAAAATTATACTGCTGCAGCAACATCCAGATGTGTAGCATCTCATGTCAAGTGCATTACAAAAACTTCTCGAAAGCATTATCTGCCGTTCCAGTGTCCTTTATTTTCTCTTTTCATTAATTACTCTGTCTTTCTTAGAATGACTTTTATAGTGGCTTTAGATGGATTGGGAAAGAATCTGCACCCCTCCAGTGTTTAGATCGCACTTTACTCCGAGTCTGCTCCTTTGTGTTTCCAAATGGAGCTGCAACACTTTCCTGCTTCCTTCTCCCTAATACAGTGGAAGGGAATAATATTCAGTATTCTTCATGAAGGGCACCCTTTGTTGAATGTTATAGGCACATCTGTTCCTTTTTTGATTTTTCTAGCCAAGCTACAGTATGTGTACAGGAAGGTAAGAACAGTTCTATTTTAGGATCCATCTGTGGAAAGGAACTTTGTTTAATCATCTGGCTTTAGAATCTTATGAATACCACTATATGCAGTATTGAATAGCTTCAATATAAAAAAATGTTTTGGGCTGGATCTTAGGCTGGGTGTTCTTTTTTTTCTTTGAGAATGCACGTAGGTAAAACTGTTTTCTTCATTTTAATGGCATAGAACCTAAAGAAACAGAGTGTGAGAGTGTGCCTTTTGGTGAATTGTGTGAGCTTGCAGCTTTGATTTCTGACCAGCTCAGGATTGCCACGAGGTGTTTATAAAAACTGTAGAATGAAGTAACCGACAGCAACAACGTGTAATTCATCCATTTCCAAAACCCGCCTAGTCCAGGAAAACAAAGCAGAATTTGTTTCAGCAGCACCTCACTGACAGCTGGCTTGATTACCAAGCCCTGTCTGTCCAGGCAGTAAAGTTTCTGATGCCATTCCCCACAACCTAACTTTTGGAAATGGGATACTCAACGCTTGTCAAATTGAAGAATCAATATCTAAATAAACTTTGCTTTGAACCAGAAATCGCCTATTGTCATAGCCAGAACCTTATATACAGCATTTTCTGTCTTAAAATGACATCAGCCTTCTCATTATCTTTATCTTACTGGTCGGTCTGTTCCAATTAAAATGTCCTTACTGGACACAAACTCACCATACAATATGCCATATTTAGATTTTCAGAAGGCTTTTAACTTTTCTGATCAAAGATTAATTTTCTCCCACATTTGAGGAGATGTGTTTGGGTTCAAAATGAATAGAAAACAGTACAGATAAAGAGTGAAGGCTTCAATTGGAAAGAAGTACAGAAGAAAAGCTGACCTTGATGAGATTACAATTTACATTTACATCTTCTAGACAATGTGGGCAAACAGTGCTAGAATGTATAGTTACATTTTAGGTTTTAAACAAGGAATTGTTTGTTTTGAGCTGTGCAGTGCTCTAGTAAGGTTTTAAGGCAGCGCTTAGAACATTATTTAAAATTTTGTTTACCACAATATAAGAAAGATTTTGCTGCTCTGGAATGCATCTAGAAAAGAGCAACAAGATATCGTATTATCTGTGGTTTAGGGGAATGTCCCTCATTGATAAACTGAAGGTACTCATCCTTCTTGAATCTTGGAACAGAGATGATTAAAGATTGTTGATACTTAGATCAGATTCCTTTTGTAAAGGCAGTGATGAAGTCAACCCAATGGAATTTTTCAGATTTAAAATTGAAACATGAGCCAGGGGACACAGGCTACAACTATGTAGAAATTCATTCAAAACCGGGAATAGAGGTACTTATTTACGCAAAGTGTGGTCGAAGATGGAACAAGCTACTCAGTCTTGTCATTGAAGGTGTCGCTCAAGTTCAGGAAATGACCAGTTCTTGTTTTTAAGTTTGTTTTCTTTTGTTCTCTATCACTACAATGTTTCCATGAAAAAAAAGTCTGTGTGGATTTAAGAGGATGTGGTAACACGTCTCAGAAGTCAAATATATTTAGAGGTCAGAGATGTGAATGAGGGAAAAAAAGTAGGAAACTAAAGCGCAAAACCCTTAATACATCTGCTCTTCATTTGTTGTTTCCAGACTTTTAATTTGCCGTGGTCTGCAACAGTATTGGTGTTTGGACTGACTCATTTAAGTGCACAGTGCACATAATTTTGGTCATGGTATTTTGCAGTTTTACAGAATACTTCATCATAGTAATTGAATGAGATCATTTTATTAATTCTTGCAACTTTCTGATGCTGTGGGGTGGACAGTGAACACAAGTTACAAACGAGAGGAAACCATTCAACTAATGCAGATTCAATAGCTGACTTGTCTTGAAGTATATCTCATATTATTCTCATTATTTTGCAGTTAGATATGATTCATGAAGTTTAAGGAGTTAGCTAGAGGTTTCTTTTCAAACAGCATAAGATAATAATACAACCCTATTTGTGGTCTTTAGTGGTTTGTAGTCTTGATTAGGGTGAACTATTTGCATTTAAAATCAAATAATTTTAATAGAAAAAAATCTTTAGATTGCATTGGATGTTATAGCTAATAAAAATGCCTTTTTGTTGTTACTTAACGAGAAATTGGACTCGTTTTTAATTTATTTAATAATTGTCTTGTTTTAGAAAATTATTAATAAATGGATCATAGTGCATAGTTTGCCTATAAAACTTCCATGCAGCACATGCTGTTTCCATGACCCCTCTTTCCTTTCTTTTCCAGCCTTTTGCTCCGCTGATCAAAATGAACTGCTCTGCTGAAGTGCACTTGTTTCTGTGTCAGGCCTTTGTGCCAGTCTGCATAGAACCTACAAAAGTCCTGATGCCCTGCCGTGCCCTCTGTGAGAGGGTGCGTACTGACTGTAGGAGTCTCATTGACATGTTTGGGATTGTCTGGCCCCCTGAGTTGAGGTGTGAAAGGTAAGGTTCTGTGGTTGTGACGTACACACGATCTCACAAAACATCACCCTGCAGTGCAACGCCATTGCCCAAGCTGTTTCAAAGTGCTGCGTCATAGTGTTGAGCACATTTTGACTGCCAGTGTTCAACCAAGGGACTGCCTAAAAGGGAACTGCAGACCCAGTTTCTCAGACCAGTTATTAAATCACGGTAATAAAATAAATTCATTGATGTTATAGAAACAAATTACAAATTGTGAATTAAGCGCACAATTGTGAACTTTGTGGAAGTACTGTGTAGTCGCCATTGTTGTCATAAACCTTGGCTCTTGCAATGGGCAAGAGTGAGAGTTCCTATGAATTCCGATGTGATGTGGCCCTTTCTGCTCGCTAGTCACTGTAATCACTAATGCAATGTACGAGCGAATACGTACAGGCTGTGCCGCAGACATTAACCTCAGAAATTTTAGGTAAAATGGGAATGATGTTGGGAGGTTTCAAAGTTTCCAGATGGCTTCAGCTGAGAGCCCCTCTAACCAGTCAGCCCTGACCTCCACACTGCTTCATTTCGTGCTGTGTTTGTATCACTTAGGCTTATGTTTTCTCCAGTTAATTGTTCAGCGCTGACTTGAGCACCGTCTTGTGTTGGGACCTGCAGGTTTGATGAATGCCACAGTTCCCTGGATGGCTCAGCTGCTCCTCCCATGAAGCAGATGACAACACAGAAGCCCTCCCCCTCTGTGCAGAGAGACTTTGGCTTCTGGTGCCCTCGGCAGTTCAAGACCCCACCCGGCCAGGGCTCGGAGTTCCTGGGTGTGGCAGACTGCGCTCCCCCCTGCACCAACATGTACTTCAAGCCCCACGAAATCGAATTTGCCAAGAACTTCATCGGGGTCTCTTCCATCGTCTGCCTGTGCGCCACGCTCTTCACCTTCCTCACCTTCCTGATCGACGTCAAGAGGTTTCGCTACCCCGAGCGGCCCATCATCTTCTACGCCGTCTGTTACAGCGTCGTGTCCCTCATCTACTTCATCGGCTTCCTGCTGGGCAACGGCACGGCCTGCAACCGAGCCGACGGGGAGCTGGGGAGCGTCGAGACGGTGGTCCAGGGCTCCCAGAGCAAGGCCTGCACGGTCCTCTTCATGCTCCTTTACTTCTTCTCCATGGCCGGGACGGTGTGGTGGGTCATTTTGACCATCACGTGGTTCCTGGCGGCGGGTCCCAAGTGGAGCTGCGAGGCCATCGAGAAGAAAGCCGTGTGGTTCCATTCCGTGGCCTGGGGAATCCCGGGGGCACTGACAGTCATGCTGCTGGCCTTGAACAAAGTGGAGGGGGATAGCATCAGCGGGGTGTGCTTCGTGGGGCTCTACGACCTGGACGCCCTGCGCTACTTCGTCCTGGCCCCGCTGTGCCTCGGCGTGGTGGCGGGGCTCTCTCTGCTCCTGGCGGGCATCATCTCCCTCAACCACGTGCGCCAGGTCATCCAGCATGACGAGCGCAACCAGGAGAAGCTGAAGAAGTTCATGATTCGCATCGGCGTTTTCAGCGGCCTCTACCTGCTGCCCCTCGTCACGCTGCTGGGCTGTTACATTTACGAGCAAGGCTATCGCAAGACCTGGGAGAAGACCTGGATCAGCGATCACTGTCAAGAGTACCACATTCCCTGCTCTTACCAGGTACCACTATCCCGCCCTTCTGTGACCAAATTAACTAAAAACGTGGATGCTGTTGGGTTTCTAGTCACTATAATCAAAATCAATTTATTGTCACAATAAAAACAGCCTACTCTAAACTCTAAATGATTATTTTTAGTTATTGGATTGATCATATGTTGTATTTAAAAATATAATGCGCCTTATATTATTGGTTTTACTTGAGGAGTGACTACTCGTGGATATTGAGGGCTACATTTCATTAATATTTTAAGTTTTCTTTCCTTTCTTTCAGAAAGTCTTAGACAGGCCCAATCTGTCCCTTTTTTTAATAAAATATCTGATGACGCTGGTTGTCGGAATCTCAGCTGTATTCTGGGTCAGCAGCAAGAAGACTTGCTCCGAATGGGCCTATTTCTTCAACAAGACCCGCAAGAGAGAGTAAGGCCATTGATTTCCAGTTTCCAGTGACCGGTTCATGTTTTCCCATGTTTTAATTGATGTTTTGTCGAACTTCAGGTGAGGTTTTCATCTCCTCAAAGGTTCTGGGTGATAACATTTCTATAATACTGTGGTGTTCAGTGGAGTATGTCTATAAACGGAGGCAACAATGAAACGTGAAGATTATTGCAACCATAAAAATCATAGATGCTAACGATTTTACACAATACTTTCAGTGTTGGAAAGGTAAACACATGACACAGCCTACTGGATGCAAGTGTAAGTTAAGCAATGGCAGAATTTGCAACCGAGAGTTATATGGAAAGGTGTACGTTTTTAATTCAATGTTGCTGATTTGCAGCCCTATCAGTGAGAGCCGGAGAGTGCTGCAGGAGTCCTGCGAGTTTTTCCTGAAGCACAACAACAGAGTGCAGCACAAGAAGAAGCAGTACAAGCCCAGCTCCCACAAGCTGAAAGTCATCTCCAAGTCCATGGGCACCAGCACGGGGGCCAAGCCCAACCACGGGACCTCCACTGTCGCCCTCGCCAATCACGACGCCCTGGCGCAGAGCACCCTCTCCGAGACCCCCGGCCGGGCTCAGGCGGTCACGAAGGCCGGGGGCCGGGAGCCGGC